AAAATCAAAACCTTCGGGTCCGACGGAGGAGGGGAATTCCTCAACAACCAATTTCACAATTGCTTCCGCCAGCTCGGTATACATCACCAATACACTTGCCCATACACACCCGCGCAAAATGGCGTCGCCGAGAGGAAACACCGACACATCCTTGAAACAATTCGCACTCTATTAACTGATGCCCACCTCCCACACTTTCTCTGGGTTGAGGCGCTGCTCACGGTCGTGTACTTAATCAACCGGTTACCCACCCTCACGCTCAAAAACATCATTCCGTATCACAGCCTCCACCACAAACCACCTAGCTACAATCATCTGAAAATCTTCGGGTCACTCTGTTATCCTTGGCTTAAACCATACAACAACTCCAAACTCTCTCCTATCTCCACACCATGTATTTTCATCAGGTACTCTTCAGCCTAAAAAGGCTACAGGTGCCTTCATCCCCAAACTGGCAAAGTCTATGTATATCGGCACGTTATATTCAACGAATCAATCTATCCTTACCATCAATCAATGCCTAACAGATCTGCTAACCCCCCATACACCTACACTCCACCACTGCTGCTTGTTCCTACTACAAAACAAACACAACCGCACCATACGATCCTCACCAGCGAACCACCTCCTGTATCCACGGCTCAAATCCAATCTACCTCAGCTCTACCTACCGTAACCGAATCTCCACATATTAATACAACACCACCTATGCCCACCCATCATATGGCCACTCGCTCCAAAACAGGGAACCTCAAACCCAAGAAGATCTTCAATTTGCTGCACACCACCACTCCCTCAGACCCGACCACTTACAATGAGGCCGCCAAACAGAAACACTGGTGTCGCGCCATGTCCGACGAATTCCAAGCGCTTCAATCTCAGGGTACATGGGATCTTGTTCCGCCCAAATCCCACCAAAATGTTCTAGGATGCAAGTGGACATTTCAAACAAAGTTCAACTCAGATGGCACCCCTGCTCGGTACAAAGCCCGCCTCGTCGCCAAAGGCTTCAATCAAGAATATGGGCTTGACTACAACGAAACCTTTAGTCCTGTTGCAAAAATGACGACCATACGGATCCTTCTGACTCTCGCTCTTCATCACGAATGGCCCATACGACAACTGGATGTCTCCAATGCTTTCTTGCACGGCTCGTTAAACCACACAGTGTATATGAAACAACCCATGGGATTCGTGGACAATGCTCATCCCGAATACATCTGTTAGCTCAAGAAGGCCCTCTACGGCCTCAAACAATCTCCCCGAGAATGGTTCTCCACGCTATCAGGACATCTTCACAGCCTGGGCTTTCGGTCCAGCACTCAGATACGTCTCTCCTCATCTACCATCGTAACACAATTGTTATTTACTTTCTCGTTTATGTAGATGACATTATTATCACCGGTAACAACCAACAGGAGATCCAGAAGCTAATCAACAACCTACGCACAAAATTTACAATGAAGGATCTCGGTCTAATATCTCAGTTCCTAGGAATCCAAGTCGTCCACACTACTTACGGATTACACCTCAATCAACAACAATTTGCAAATACGATCCTCTCCCGAGCAGGTATGTCCAACTGTAAACCAGTATCTACACCATTTCAACTCAAAAACTCAAATCAGAAATCCGATTCTAATGCCTTCTCTAATCCTTCTCTGTATCGCCAAATTGCCGGCTCACTACAATATCTCACACTCACGAGAACGGATCTTGCTTTCGCCGTCAACAAATTTTGTCAACACATGCAAAATCCAACAAATATCCACTTTGAAGCAATCAAACGGTTGCTACGCTACATCAAGGGGACCATCCACATCGGTCTCCCTCTCTTCCGAGACAACCCCATTCTCCGATCCTACGTGGACTCTGACTGGGCAGGCGACGAAACCAACAGAAAATCAACTTCCGGATTCTGCAACTACTTGGGCTCTTCACTGATCTCATGGAGCGTCAAGAAACAAACAGCAGTCGCCCGATCCTCGACCGAGGCTGAATACCGGGCCATCGCCTCGGCAGCAACCGAGATAGTTTGGATACGACAGCTACTGCAAGAACTCAAGCACCCGCAGCCAGCAGCAACTCAGCTATTTTGTGACAATACCTCCGCCATCGCACTGGCCAATAACCCCGTCTTTCACGCACGCACAAAACACATAGAAGTGTATTGTCACTACATCCGGAACTGCATCAAAGACAACACTATTCATGTTCATCATATCTCTACTAAGGATCAACTCGCCGACGTGCTCACGAAACCACTACCAACACCTCGGTTCAAGACCTTAATCAACAAGCTAGTTGCTCCATCTGAAGCAACTGCTTGAGGGGGGCTGTTAGCCACGTCATTATCTTGAACTGTTATCAAGAATACACATGGCATCATACTATTGGGTTATATGTATTATCATGTCCTATAAATATAATAGGCTGTAAACACTTAGATGAATGAAATAAATCGTTTCTTCTTATTCTTGCATTTCCTCTGTTCTATTTCCCGCTCATTCCAAGATTTCATGGTATCAGAGCAGGTCCTTACCTGACTCGAATCTTTTTCGCCTTCCTTCTCTCCGGCGAACCACCCATCGATGGCGACATCCTCTTCAACATCCACCGACGCCATCGATACCAGGCGCGACACCGCCAAGCCCTTTGACAAACACACTATACCTACTCAGCTCAAGTTTCTTATGAGCAACATCAAAAGCGTCATCTCCCTAACTCTAACAGCTGAAAATTACCCTCTATGGAGATCTCAAGTCCTCAAGCTATTCAAGGCAAACGGCTTTGAGGGCTTTCTCGACGGATCCTGCGCCTACCCTGCTGCCAACGATCCGCATCTCTCCCTGCATCTATGGACGCTTCTTGATTAAAATCTTGTCGCAGCCCTATATTCCATAATCTCTCCAAGCATTCTTCCCTATGTGCTGTGTCTTGATCATTGCTCAGAAATCTGGGAAATGATCGCCCGTCGTCTACAATCTTCCACTCGTTCTCATACCATACAACTACAAAACGAACTCCACCATCTGTCCATGAAGAACCAGACAATGGCGCAATATTTGCTGTCTATTAAATCTCTGGTAGATGCCATAGCAGCGACGGGCTCACCACTCGATCCCGAAGAAGTCATCTTCTACACCCTTCATGGCCTTCCCTCTCAGTACCAGGCGTTTAAAACCTCCATCAGGACAAATCTGCAACCGCTGAGTCTTGATGATCTCTACACGCTCCTGTGCAGCGAAGAACTCAACATGGCTCAAGAAGTCACCGCTGATCTCTAGAATCTTCAACTCACTGATCCCTCCACTGCTCTCGCTACCTATCGAGGTCGCGGCCGAAGTTGCTACCCCAACAACCGCGGAAGAACTACCTCTTCTGCTCCAGTCTCTCGCACCAAAAATGACAAAAAGACCACCGGCTCCGTCACCTGTCAGATCTGCTTCAAGACCGGGCACTCCGCCATCAAGTGTTGGCACCGGCATGATCCTGCATATACGGAAGAATCACCAAAAATAGCTCTATTCGCGCCCACCGACTCCTCCAACTCAAACGACTGGTTTCTTGATACAGGGGCCACCAGCCATCTCACGTCCGACTCGTCCCAACTGCAAGCTATCCAACCTTGCAACGGACATCATCAGATCACATTAGGAAATGGTAACCAAATCCCCATCCAAAACTCAGGTAAAGGCATACTGCCTACTCCGGCAGGTAATCTCTACCTTCAAAATTTACTTCACGTACCCAATCTTTCATTCAACTTAATTTCTATTCACCGGTTAACTAAAGATAACCAATGCACAGTCAAATTTTCCGCTAACGACTTTCAAATCCAGGACTCGAAGACGGGTCGTTTACTTCTCAAAGGTCCCTGCCATAATGGTCTTTATCCAATTCGCCCCAATACCAGTCCTCACCATCTTGCTCTTTTCTCGGCTCAAGAAGTCTCCAACCTGTGGCATCGACATCTGGGACATCCCGCGGACGCTACCACCATTTACTTACAGAAACACATTCCGTCTCTCCGTAATAGCAAAGTTTCTTTACATTGCAATTCTTGTAGAATGGCCAAATGCCAACGTTTACCTTTTAATAACTCATCTACTTACAGCTTGAAATCGTTTGATCTCATACATTCCGATGTTTGGGGGCCTAGTCCTACCCCATCATCACAAGGTTTCAAATACTACGTTTTATTCATTGATGATCACTCTAAATACTGCTGGGTGTATCCCCTACTTCGCAAATATGATGTTTTTAATAAGTTTATAGAATTTAATACAATGATCATGTAATATCAGTTTTTGCTCCAGGTTCGTCCGGACGAAGTCGGATCGTCCGGGACGATCGGTACAGGTTGTGCAGAAAATCAGTTTTGGTTGAATGATTCGTCGGGACGAAAATTGGATCGTCTGGACGAAAATTCTCCCGTGAACCCTTCGCCAGGGACGATATGTCATTTTTCGTCTGGACGGAATTCCTCTCTTCATGGATCGTCCGGTACGAAGCTCGTTCGTCCGGGACGATCAGTCTGGATATATATAGAAATGAGATATTTTGAAGAGAGAGAAAAAGCTGAGGAGAGAGAAAAACGAAGGAAAAAGTGGAAAAGTTGATTTTCGGACGACGCGGAGCCGTTTTCGCCCGAAGTGGCTGTTGAGGAAATTGCTGTGCTCGAGGTAAGGCACATTCCGCCTTTCTCAATTTTCAGAACCGTCGTGTTTGGCGGTATATTCTGTCCGGATTTCGTTTTCGTTAATGATTTTTGTCCGTATCTGTTGATTGGCTCAGTTTTTACCGCGTAACTTTCTGTATATTGTTGACGTGCCGAGTGTGCACATTTTGGTTATTTTCTGAAGATTTTCGTCCGGGTATTTTTGATTCGACTGTGTTTTTAGTCGACCAGATTTTTCTGTGAAATTGGAATTTATCTGTGCAGTAGAATAAATGTTCTGAAATGTTGATATCTGTATTCTGTGCGAATTCGGTAAATTTTCTTTGCAGGAATTTTTGTGTAAATTCCGTATACTGCCGTTGTGCTGCCCGATTTTTGGGAAATTTTCGAATTGTCCGTATTTCTTCTGAATTGAAATGCTATGTGTATAAGCTATAAAAAGGGAGTTATAAGGGGCCTGAATCCTATGAGATTCAGTTAGTGAAACGGAAAATCTGAAATGAGCTCAAATCTGAAATTCTGAAATCAGTTCTGTTCCGGATCCGATGAATTCTGTTTTGGTGCTATAAGCACATCTGTTTTGGTGCCGTGAGCACAAAGGGAGACATAAGGGGCCTGGATCCTATGAGATTCAGTCAGTGTCTGGGAAGGGAGGCATAAGGGGCCGGAATCCATAGAGATTCCGTCAGTGTCAGGGCATTTAGCTATATGCATCTGTACTATTTTCTGTATCTGTTCTGTTCTGTACGAAATTGTGATTATGATATGATATGATCCGTACGATTCTGATTTCTGATTCTGACTCTGTTGATTTGTTCTGTTCTGATACGATCTGTACGACTCTGATGTGATTTGATACCTGTCCGTAAGTTTTGATTTCCAATTCTGTTCCGATTTCTGATCTGATTTCTGTCCGATGAATTTGGTTCTGTTTTCTGAGAATTTAGATTGGTGGTTTGTTGCTTTGCTGAGCTGTTGAGCTCACCCTTGCTTTCTGGTGGTTTTCAGGTTCTGGGAAGGGCAAGGAAGTTCAGGACTAGGTTTCAGAGTCTGATCAGATTAGGTACTTTTGTACTTTTGATTTTTGTACAGTCATGGCTTTTCTGTTCTGTCTTTCTTTCTGTTGAAAGCCATGTACTGTTCTGTAGATGATTATTTTGAGGAAATGAAAAGATAGATGTTTTGTTCCGCTGCATTTGATGTTTTTAGTAGCTCTGTTGTTCTGTGTGCTTCTGTTGAGTTAAGAATTTGAAAGATCAGTTCAGTAACCTAATCCAAAGCCAGATCCTGCCCTTAAAAATCACAAATTGCCACTTTACATCGACATTTTAATTCATCAGCTATATGTTTAACTATAAATTCTAACCCGTCGATTCTTTAAGCAAACGGCAATAGTAATCGAGCATAGAGCGGCAATGGAAATTCACAGCACCAACAAGCTGATCAGCCACCACCACTCTGCTCCTCCTCCTCCTCCACCCACCCTTACACGCCGCGCCAAACTTCTCCTCACCGTCCTCAACTGCCTCCTCCTCAGCGTCGGCAACTGCAGCGGCCCTATTTTCCTCCGCATCTACTACCTGCACGGCGGCCGCCGCATTTGGCTCACTTCCTTTCTTGAAACCGCCGGATTCCCCCTCCTACTTATCCCCCTCTCAATCTCCTACCTTCACCGCCGCCGTTCCAATCCTTCAACGCCTCTCCTCCACCTCACTCCCCGTCTCCTCCTGGCCTCGTCTGTGCTCGGGGTCATCACCGGCCTCGATGACTTCCTTTACAGTTATGGCCTCAACTTCCTCCCTGTCTCCACCTCCTCCGTCCTCATCGCGTCTCAGCTGGCTTTCACGGCGATCTTCGCTTTCTTAATAGTGAGGCAGAAATTCACCCCCTTTTCGGTCAACGCCGTGGCGTTGTTAACCATTGGCGCCGTCATCCTGGCTCTGCATACGAGCGGTGATCGGCCGGCGGGGGTGACTGCGGCGGGGTATTGGAAAGGGTTTGTTTTGACAATTGGGGCGGCGGCGCTGTACGGTTTGTTTTTGCCGTTGGTGGAGTTGACTTATGACAAGCTGGCTGGAAGGGCGGCGGTGACTTACACTCTGGTCATGGAAATGCAGCTTGTTATTGGATTTTTCGCCACTGGATTCTGCGCCGTCGGGATGATTGTCAACAAGGATTTTCAGGTGAAAGTTATAATCGCCGGTTCTTTTATATTTCAAATTAACTGCGGAGCTCGAGCTCTCAAAATATTTTTAATAAAAATATTCCTCATCACCATTGTTTCTTCTTCACTGACGATTAGAAACTAAACCAGTTTTCCTTCTAGCACAGGCAATCCCAAGAGAAGCAGCCGAGTATGGACTCGGAGAGACAAAGTACTATCTTGTCATCATCGCCGCCGCCATATTCTGGCAATGCTTCTTCCTCGGCGCCATCGGAGTAATCTTCTGCGTCAACACTCTGCTCTCCGGAATCATCATCGCCGTCTTCATCCCTGTTATTGAAGTATTGGCCTTCATCTTCTTGCACGAAAATTTTAGCAGTGAGAAAGGGGTAGCCCTCCTTCTCTCTCTATGGGGTCTTGCTTCCTATTCTTATGGTGAGTATAGACAGGCGCAGGAGAAGAAGAAGGAACTACAACCAGCTCCAGCTCTCAGCACCGTCTAAGACTTCTTTTAGCACAATTTTATTTTAGCTTTCAAGAGATTTTTATACTAAAAATTGCTTTTCAAAAAGTAATAAGGAAGCCGTCCCAAACGAAGCCTCTGCCTTATGTGGCTATTATTGATGAGTGGAAAGAATGATGGCTGATTTAGGGGAGCAATTATTATGTCTAGTACCGAGTTTTAGGTGACGTCGCGCATGGTTATTGATCTTTGAACGCATTCGGTGACCGGACATAATAATTGCTCGATTTATGGATTGTTATGGGTGGGATTTAAGTAATTATAGCTTAAATTCCGTCAAACATTTTGGTAATATAATTTTGCATATCTAAATTGATTTTGCATAGCTAAATTTGTTTATAAAATTACCATAACATACTCATAATAAAGATGAAAATAAAATGTAAATATATGAAAAATATTGGTTAGAAACATATATCTTCGAAATTGTTTGTTAAACTTTTATTATTTAGATATGATTCAAATATTAAAATATGTATTATTTAATTGAATGACTTCTTGTTCATATGAGAAGTTGGGTGGTCAACATTTGAAAACCTCTTTGATGAGATTTTCTTCCTTCTGCCTTATCTCAAAATAATCCTCTCTCTCTTCCACCTCTCCTCAAAAACTAAAATTATTTTATAAACTCTAGATAACTTTGGGCCTTTACAAATAATCTAAAATCTTGGGCTTATTGCTCTTGAATTTCATCTCCATAACAAAACCCCATCACTTCAAAAGCTTGTGCAATTCTCTTTTCATGTTTGTTTGAGTCGTCATATTTAACTAAGATTGATATGACTCCAAAAAAATTATACGCTCTGCATGAATCTCTGATAGGGTTGACGTGTTGATTACTTGTGTGAGTGGAAGAGTTTTTAAGCTTTATTGGTGGCAAAATTAAATGCTGATGAAATTACTTACCACTGCACACTAATATGCTCAATGCTCTCAACTAACGCAGGTGCACGTGCCGACCAAGTAATAAAATGTTATGAGAAGAGTGTCAAGTCAACAAGAAAATAGATGAACCACAATTGACTGTGGTACTACATACTCAAACTACTAAATTTATCCTACACAATGAAATTAAGGGGTAATTACTAAAACTACTGAGAAATTTATGAAATAGTTGAGATAACCAAAGATAAAGATGTTTTGGACTAATGATGGTGAATAAATATATGTTCTCGTAAGCAGACTCATCTACAATAGTTGTGAATCAGATATTATGCACATTTAGATCTCTATCGAGTCTGTAAAAGTGTAAAGAAAAGTTTTATGGTCTCTTTATAGTTATTATCGCTCCATTGATCCTAAAAATCCTAATCATCATATATCTAGGTATGAAAGCATTCTATTTCAATACTCCTAATTGTTCTAAAATTTCTCAGTCGAGATAATTAATGTATCACACTAGATTTTAATTTTATGCATAGCCATTGCACAAATTAAAATAAATTTGAGTGATGTTGAAAATAATAATTCACATTTATATGCTAGAGTCACATTAGGATGTAGACAAACTTTCACATCATGAGTCTAGAAGTAAAAAATTATTTAGCCATATAAATAAGATTTAACAAAATACTTTATATAACTTGCTCAAGAAAGTAGTATAAATATAAAGATGAAGAAAATAGTAGCAAGAATAAAAAATCCTAAACATATACATCATATGGATTCTTCCTGAAGTGATTCTTCCCTTACACATTCACTCTCCACACTCCCTTCCACTCCTAAGTATAGTTTTGTAACTTTTGTTATATAAAAGATGACCAGTCACTCAGTATCATATGGTTCCTTCCACCAAATTTTTTTTAAAAAATTTATTTGTACTTAACATAAATAGACTCAAATGTCGCAGCACTCAACAGGTTGGTGGAACTAGTGCCTCAATGCTTATAAATGTTCTTCGCTGCATTATTTGGCTGACCTAGCGCGATTGTTGAATAATATGGCGTGACACCTGACTGATTCGGCGTGGCATTTCTTTTCTCTAATTGCTCTGCCACGGCGCTGAAAAACGACGAGTGCTATGGTGCTCGCTTATGTCTTCTGTACTACAAGACTTTCGAGGTTGGCGCTTCGGCATTGAATTATTTGCAATTTTCCCGAGACTCTGGTACTGTAATGTTCACTTATGGCGCTGCGGCACTGTTCTGCACTACAATGTTGACCTTTGTTCCGCGGGGGTGCTGAATTAAATGAATTTTCTTTTTAGGCTCCATCACTGCGATGTCCTGATCTAATGCTAGGGCATAGAAGACATTGCGTTGTTGATAATTCTAGCTCTGCGACGCTGATTCTCAACTTTGTAATTTTTTGCTCTTTTTTCCTTAGACATTTCTACTAAACATTAACAAAAACACACATATTTACTGGGATTTAATAGAATAAAAACAACATAAATTTCACTTAAAATTTTTGAGATAATCTTTGAATTGAAATTTTTTGAAATTAAAATAATGATCATCTAAATTTCAAATTTAACATGCTTATATTTGAATCGAATGGCTCGATGATATGAACCGTACAGTTGAGTGTTTTAGATTTGATTCAAATCACTAAAACACTCATCCCAAAAAAGTTTATAAACAGTGCCTCATTTTCCGCATGAGAGACAAAATAAGAAGAGAACTATAGTTCTCTAATATTTTTCAGTTGTCATGATCGACAACCACCACTAGTTATTGACATCAACAATCACCATCATCATCGATGATCACTATCAATAATCGTCACCATCTCCAGAATTTTGCTATTGGATATAGCAAGATTTGTATGAACACCTGCTTTCTATAATCCCTATTGGTGAATCAAGTCCTGATGTAGTGTTAATTATTCATCTTTTTTTCTTTTTTTTTTGGGAAAATTTAGGGCTTAGCCCAATTCATTCCAGCAAATAGAATATAATGGAAAGGCTGACTACTACCACAACCTGCCAGTAGTAGTGAACCAACAAAAAATAACTATCAGCATAAAAAAGCTACCAAAACAAATTTAAAAACCACATAGTAACTATCTGCTTAGCAGTAGTAATACAGAAGAAAAACAGTAAACAAAATTATTACTATCTCCCTACATACAGATAAAATCAGCTGAAAATCATGAAAAACTCCCTGTAGAGACTAACAGACGAGCAGAATCGGGAGAGGACCATCCGAAATTATAGAGCTCCCAATCCATAGCATGCTATGAAAAACTCCCTGTAGAGAATGCAGACGCATATTAATCGTGTGGTGACCATCAGTAATTAAGGAGCTCCCAAGCCATAAAAAACCTGGACTCAGATTTATTGTGTCAGGATTTTGATCAATTATTGCATATTGAATTCCCTGGTTGCCCGTAGGCCTTCCAAGGGAACCAATACAAATTTTTGGGAGTATCATCATTGTCCAGGAGGCTACATACACCAATCTGGGACATTTGCATCGATAGGGCCATAGAATGATTAAAGAAGCTGGCACGATGAACGTCTGCCAACTTACAGCAATTCCATAAGATCCAAAGAATTCCCCCATTTATGTATTTTTTCACATAAATTTCTCTTTATTATATGTAACAGAGAAGTGTCACAGTTGATGGCATTACCAAACCTCCTACCATTTCTTTCTCTCCAGATATGATAAATAGCACAACAAATAGTCACATAAAAGTAATTTTTAACCTTCGCATTCCCTTTGTATTGAACTTTTACCCATTCAAAAACCTGCATAATGGTTGGTCTGAAAAGAAAGTGTTTCATTCCAGGAAATAAAGCAGTGAGAATGGTAAAAGTATAAGAGCACTCAAAGAACAGATGAGAGACAGTTTCATTGTGATAATGGCACAGGCTGCAAGTGCCAGGAACATTAATGTTTCTAGTGAAATTATTCATCTATAAATACTTGATTTCTTTTAACCCTCATAAGAGAAATTAAATATCTTATTCTCAAATAATCATCTTCTTCTTCAACTGTGAGGAAGAAAAGATTATTGTATCTTTTGATATAATAGTTTTTCATCTTAGTTAGATCATATGATTTTTTCCTTTTCTGAATTTTCCACGTAAAAAAGTTCTGGTCTTACAACTTTTCTTTGAGCATGTTGATTTTTTGTACAACATAACATATTATTAGAATTTATTCTTTCTATGAGCTCTATTTTTAGCATGCAATAAAACTAACATAATTAAAGTTAACATTGGTAATTCATTAAAATATTCAGGATCTAAATACAAAGGACTAAAAAATTTTGATATTTACATATTTAACATCTAAATTTTACTATTTAAATACTCTAGCACCTAGTAAATATAGTTACCAGCATGGAACTCATCACAGGATCTCACAAGAGAAGACATCAACTAGAGCACTATCGTGTGACCAAAAAGAGTTAGTGAGACCACTGATATTTCACAAGAGAAGGCATTGATGAGAGCCTATGTTACACCGATACGGTTACGGCGACACGAATACGACACGATACGAATACGTGACACGTCAATTCTTAAAAATACAGTATACGAGTACGGCGCAAACACGGCATTATAATTTATAAATCATACATAAAAATTAAGAAAGCAATAAAGCATAATATTTGAAATTACAAAAAAAAAAATGACAACAACATGATTTGTAGCCTTGTAGTTTATAATATCAAAATATAAGTAAGCATTAAATGTCTAGTACAACAACAAAAGCATAAACATAAATTATCTAGCACATGAAGTTTCAACTATTCAATGGAAGGAATGCTATAATTATCTTCTTCATTGGTTTGTTTTTGAACTTCTATATCATCTTCAATAAATATCATAGCTTCTAATTCAGGCTCATCAAGTGAAAGATTAGTAATTTTTAATATTTTCATATCATCAAGAGACTCAAATCCATCTCTGAAATGAGAGAATATTGCTCGCAACCGCGGAAGTAAATACGATACGTTTTTTTTTTTATTTCTTTTTTTTTTTCAATGGACACGCGTATCGGATACGCGTGTCCTTTTGAAATTAAATAGTATTTTAATTGGATATGGCTTTGGCGTATCCGACACGTATCGGTGGAGTATCGGAGGCATATCAGTGTATCGGTGTATCGGATACAGCACGCCTTCATAAATAGGTGTATCGGTTCAACATAGATGAGAGCAATGACATCTAAAAAAAGAAGAATTCTTGAAATTTGCATATTTAAGTTAAATTGGTTCAATGTCCACATTTACTAAATATGAGATTTATCCGGAAAAAAGAAGAAATAAGATTCAATAATTTGTAGGTTTTAAGGTTTCATTTTGTATGTTCGGAGGGATATAGGTTAAAACCAATTTAAATCCCATCCATTACTACAATGCTAAGTTACTCGAATCGATTAACCTAAAGTTTTTTTTTTCTGAAATGGGGATATAATGTATCAAAAAATACGCAGTGAAATAAGGAGTAAATACGCAGCATCCGAACACAATTCTGCGTTCGGATTGCGTACACAATAATTTCTCCTCCAAAGGAGCACTCAGCGGCGTAGCTAATCCTTTGGTGGAATCTAGTGAGACCACCCACCAGCATCGGGTCTACACTTATTTTGCCCTACTGAAGAGACAAGATAATAATAGAAGGATTCAAATTAGAGATTAGGGTTTCAATCGGGCTCCTCCAAAAACCCTAAGCCCTCGGATAGGTATTAAGTTCAATAATTATGCTGGCTAGTAACTCTCACGCTCCAAATTCGAAGCGGGGCGATGCCGATGGGTTCATTTTTCCCCGTTCTACGCCGGCGGTGCCTTTTGGTGGCTCCCGCAAGTCAGTCTTGCCGTGTGATCTCGTTTTCCACAATCGATACTTCTAGATGCTTCTCTTCCCCTGCAGCACCGACGAGCGAACGCGTCGGCTTAGAAATCGCGGATGAGGACCCGTCTTTCACGCCTGCGGGAGCGCCTGACGACTTACGGAGCCGGATCTTTCGACTTCGGTTCCCAAAGAGGAGCGCAACGGTGGTGATCGATAAGTGGATCGCTGAGGGTAGGAAGGCGACGGCGCCGGAGTTACGCAAGATCGCGAGGGACCTCAGGAGGTTGCAGCGGTTTAAGCACGCGCTTGAGGTTAGAATTCTGCCGCCCATTTTTATGGCTTCTTTTGCCCTTATGAAAATGTTTTTGCTTAATTTTATTTTTTTTTTAATTTTTTGCTCAATTTTATTTTAAAACTAAAAAGGCGTCATTTTTTAGTTGGTCCTAGGTTTGGAATTTGCAGATCTTTGAGCGAATGAGGTCTTTTTTTTTTGGAAGCAGTCTGATTGATGTTATTATCATGCGTTTGAATGTAACTATCCTTGCTTTACTTCCGATTGGAATTAGGGTTTATCTGATGTCAAGGATATCTCAATATTTTAGGGCACATTGTAATTGTTTCAATCATACAATACAAAACAAAATTAAAAACATAGTTCCAATCAACAATTCCTAAACCAAAATGTAAATCTACGCTATTCAACCGCACATAAAAGAACTCTTAGCTTCCCAAATTATTCTAGAATAATATTGATCCCAAAGATAGGGGATGTCATCATAATAGGGAATGCTAAATGAAGACAAAGTAAATGAACAACAACTGTAACAAAATGCAGCATAAATCAGAGACTTATTGGGGTCATCAGATAACATTTGCAATGTTGAAATTCTATAGCCCACAAGTATAATATGTCTGCATCCAAGAACTAAACCAGTCTATACCAAGATAAAAGCATTTATGGCCATCTAGAGACAAAATTAGGTGTAACTAGTTAGAATCTTAAACGCCTAGGAGACTAAAATCCTTCTGACAGCTACATCCTGAACGCTAATACTTAACTTCATGGTCATGCGCTAAAAAATATCATCTGGCAAGCTATTTCGCTGAAAATATATCTTGAAATTTCTTCCACAAAATTATCGAACTTTCACCTCATGATGTTGTGCTTTGTATCTTATGGCCTATGCATGAATTAGCCTCCAATGCTGCTGCACCGGAGAAGCCTTCAATCCATTCTGAGGAGGCATCTCCCATAATTTCAAATCTCAAAAGGTATTTACCTTTTTTTGCATCTTTTTTGGGCCCAGCTAAACTTTTTTTTTTTTTAATCATTCTATAATATATCTCATTATTATATTATTCATTATGTTTTTTCAAAATAACACTTTCCTCAATTTCTCTTTTAATAATTTCTTAAAATAGTATTTTCAACTTATCTTGATGCATTCATCTTTAACCTAGATCATATTATTTTTACTTCTAATGTATATAGCTTGATCAAAATCTCTACGTATCTTATCTATGGTCTTGGTATTTTATTGGTATTTTATGAATCCCCTTTTCTCTTTTCTTTTATACCAATTAGTTTATATAAACCATCAAAAGGTGTAACTTCTTCTTTGCGTGATTTCTATCTTTCTTATAAATATTATAAGTCTCAGTTATATTTAGAATTTTCTGAACTTTAAAAGCTCTTTTCTTTTTCCCTTAATTACTTTTGTACCCTCTCATTTCGCTACCTAGTTTTTTCTACTAATGTATGATTTATTTTTAGACTCTTCTAAAACTTCTACAATAATTTTCTTAATAAATTAGTCATCTTATCTTGAATCAAGTTTTGCTTAACTAAAGAGTTCCAATTTACTTCTTAGATATACGTTGATGACTATGTTGCACCGATACACCTATTTATAAAGGCGTGCTGTATCCGATACACCGATACACGGATACGCTTCCGATACTCCACCGATACGTGTCGGATACGCCAAAGACATATCCATTTAAAATACTATTTAATTTCAAATACGCGTGTCCGTTGAAAAACAAAAAGAAATCCGAAAAAAAAGATGTGTCGTATTTACTTACGCGGTTGCGAGCAAGATTCTCTCATTTCCGAGATGGATTTGAGTCTCTTGATGATATGAAAATATTAAAAATTATTAATCTTTCACTTGAGGAGCATGAATTAGAAGCTATGATATTTATTGAAGATGATATGGAAGTTCAAAGACAAACCAATGAAGAAGATAATTATATCATTCCTTCTATTGAATAGTTGAAACTTCATGTGCTAGATAATTTATGTTTATGCTTTTGTTGTTGTACTAGACATTTAATGCTTACTTCTATTTTGATATTATAAGCTACAAGGCTACAAATGATGTTGTTGTCAAAATTTTTTTTTTGTAATTTCAAATATTATGTTTTGATTGCTTTCTTAATTTTTATGTATGATTTATAAATTATAATGCCGTCTCCGCGCCGTACCCATATCTTGTATTTTTAAGAATTGACGTGTCCCGTATCCGTATCGTGTCGTATCTGTGTCGCCGTATCCGTATCGGTGCAACATAGGTTGATGACTACAACTCGATGTTATGTGGCCAAACTCTCCTTTGAAATCATTTAACAATCTTTTGCAAATTTTTTTTTTCATTTCTTCCAAGTAAAAAATTGTCCATTTATAATTTGATGGTTCCACTTCTTCAAATAGTTAAGTTTTTTTTTTTAATAATTTGTATTGACTATTACAAGATCATATGCTATTATGAAATCAAGTTTTTTTTTTTTTTTCCATTGTATTCTTTTGTTCTTTCTATAGCCACCATGAATACCCTCATGGATTATTCTATTTGAATCTGAATATCCTTTCCTTAGCTATATATTGTAGCAGTCCATCCATTTGTTCTAAAAATAAAATTTTTAAACAATCTTTCCATCCAATATGAGTATAAACACTAATCATATTTATAACCAAATTCTAATTATAATTATAATTAAATATCTAAATACTAATGTAAAATTCACAATTCAAAATTTAAATTCCAAATTTAAAATTATAAAAAAAATGCTCGTTATACACAAGCATTTTGTGTTTCTAACGCCAATGAACTTTGGCATTCAAATGCGTGCTGCTAAAACTAGTTAGTGAAGCACTACGAACTGCTTGTGAGGTCTGTAGCTTGGTGTTTTTTATATCTTTGCTTGTGTATTTACTCAAGTCAATATCTGCCATGTGCACTTTGACCGTTTCCTTCATTTCTTTTTTGCACCTTGCTGCATGCTACCATATATCATATTTGCTTGGTAAAGGGACTCAATACTTCGTTTTAATTTGCTTTTTCTATAATTGGAGGGAAAAAAGAGATTATAAAACGGCCAAAACTCATCACACTTGCTCTTAATTTATTATCATTTGTCTTGTTCTATTTTAGTTTGAGTGCATGCACCATGTTAGTACTCTATTCATGTCATAAGCTCGATTGAACATTTGTTTTGAAATAGTTGATGTATGAATGTCAATTTTTTTAAGTTTTGTTTGGGCCAACTTTTTTGTTGCTTCTTAAAGCGGCTTTCTAGTTAACAAATTTTAAATTTTTAACTAAAAAACCGCTTTAAGAAGCCGTCCCAAACGAAGCTTTAGTTTAATGTATTATTGATTTGCTTCTTGAACTGATTCAAGTTTATAGATATCAGAGTGGATGAAAATTCATCAGGAATCTGAGCTTTCAGATAATGACTTTGCAATGCGCATAGACTTGATAACAAAAGTATTTGGGGTTAGTTCCGCAGAAGAATTCTTTGAAGGGCTCCCATCAAGTGCAAAATCCTGTGAAGCTTATACTGCTCTCCTACATGCTTACGCTGGAGCAAAACTCGTAGATAAAGCTGAGAGACTCTTTGAGAAGATCAAGGATTCAAACTTCTCTGTGAGCATTTTGACCTTTAATGAGATGATGACACTATATACATCTATAGGACAGTTGGATAAGGTTCATATTGTTGTTGAAGAATTGAGGAGGAGAAAAGTCTCGCCAGACTTGTTTACATATAACCTATGGATAAGTGCTTGTGCTGCTACTTTTGATATTGAAGGTGTCAGAAAAATACTAGATGAAATGGCCTCAGACTTGAGCTCTGATGATAGCTGGGCAACATACGCAAAACTGGCTGATATATATATCACAGCAAGCCATCTTGTCAGTTCAGACAATTCTCTTGTTGAAAGTGAGAAGAAGATCAGTCAAAGGGAATGGATAACTTACGATTTTCTTATTCTTCTACATGCTGGTCTTGGTAACATTAACAAAATAAATGAAATTTGGAAGGCTTTGCACATGACCTCTCAAAAAATGACAAGCAGAAATTATGTATGTATTCTTTCTTCCTACCTTGTGCTGGGGAAACTGAAAGAAGCTAGCGAAGTTATAGATGAGTGGAAGCAATCAAAGGTTTTAGACTTCGATATATCCGCTTGCAATAGGTTGTTTGATGGATTTGTGAAGGTTGGCTTGGTGGAAGCAGCTGAAACTTTACAAGGATTAATGCGACTGAAGAATTTAGAAGTTCCGGACAGCAATGCCTAGTTAATTTTAAGTTGCAGCTTCTAGAAAAGTGCTTTTTGAGAAACTTTCCAATAGTTCAAAGCATCTGTATTGATGAGATTTCATTAGACTTAGCCAAGTTTTCGTTCTATTAAGTATGAAGATAACCATTACTAAATTTACGTTCCGTTTGGGATGGCTTTCTCGTTGCTTCTTAAAGCAGTTTTCTAGTACAAAAATTTAAATTTTTGTATTAGAAAGCAGCTTTAAGAAGCATCAAGAAAGCCGTCCCAAACGAAGCTTTAATGTAGTTTTTCCTAATGAATGTTTGTGTCTATATTTCTGCCATATGCTGCTATCAATGTGCTCCCTTACATGTGTTTCTTACTTGATCTCCGATCATGAATGTTTCACTTGGAAGTTATTTGCCTAGAAAGACAAAATGGATGGGTCAGCCCTACCTAAGCATTTATCACTGATGCAGATCTTCATGTGGATGGAATCTCGGAGCGGTTTTCAGGCATCGACAGCCGATCAAGCTGCGAAAGTAGATCTAATAATCAAAGTTGATGGCATAGCTAATGCAGAACTACATTTTGAGCAAATATCCCACCGTGCTTCACAGAAGGCTGCAAGTCTACCTCTTCTCCATTTGTATGTGAAGCAAAGAGAATTGGGGAAAGCAGAAGCCCTTTTGGCAAAGATAAACAACATGGGTTTCATTGTGAATCCTCATCCCTTCAATGAGATTATGAAACTTTATGCAGCAACAGGTCAGTTCAAGAAGGTAATTTATGTTGTCCAACACATGAAGCGAAATAAGGTTCCTCTTAATGTACTCTCTTATAACCTCTGGATGAATGCCTGTGGTGAAGTATCTGACATTGCTTCACTGGAGATGACCTATAAGGAGATGATGGTGGACAAAAATGTTCAACCAGGTTGGAGTACATACTGTACTTTAGCCAATATTTATACCAGGTCAGGTCTTGTTGACAAGGCTTTCACTGCCCTTAGGATTGCCGAAAATAAGCTATCTATGACGAAACGACTGGGTTATTCTTTTGTCATGACAAACTATGCTGCTCTGGGTGATAAAGAGGGGGTCTTAAGGCTTTGGGAACTCAGTAAAAGAGTGGGAGGAAAGATCCCTTGCGCCAATTATATGAGTGTCATATCTTGTTTGGTTAAGCTTGGTGAAATTCCAGAGGCTGAAGGGGTCTTCAGGACCTGGGAGTCTCAATGCTGGAAGTATGATATTAGGGTTCCCAATATACTTTTGGCAGCTCACATGAGGAATGGATGCATGGATAAGGTTGAATTGTTACTTTTTCATGCTTTAAAGAAGGGTGCTAATCCAAATTACAAGACTTGGGAGATTCTGATGGAAGGATGGGTGAAGAGCAAGCAGATGGAGAAGGCTGTGGAAGCTATGAAGAAAGGTTTATCCATGCTGAAGCACTGTATTTGGAGACCTAACCCAGAAATTCTGTTGGCCATTGCAGAGCATTATAAGGAGTTTCAGAATGTTGATGATGCTAAGAGGTTTGTGAAGGTTCTTCGACGTTTGCATCTAATGAATCTGCACTTGTACAAATCGTTTGTCAGAATGCACATTGAAGCAAAGAGAATGACCCCAAACATAGTGAAGATGATGGATAGAGATGGAATCGAGCCAGATGAGGAGATCAGGTTATTGATTAAACAGATAGACAGTATTTGTATTGACTAGCCCATGGAACTAAGAAGTTATTTGTATTGACTAGCCCATGCTGTTCATTGTCAATCTTATTGTTGATGATCTCTTGAAGGAATTCTGATCCAGTTGGGGATGAAGATTGGGGATGAAGATATCTTTCCAGGAGCTTAGCTTCTCTTAGTCTATTGGAACTCTTTCACTGCATCAAGTTGCTGAATCCAACACACTGAGATTTAGGGTGGTTGGTGGGCGAGCACGGTTGGGAATCTCCATCTTGAGTTCGAATTCCCTTTACTACGGCCTCGCCTCTTCAATAGAACAAAGCAAGTGTGGACCCAATGCCGGTGGGTGGCCTAGTTAGGTTCTGCCGAGGGATTAGTTACGTCGCCAAGCGTTGTCTTTGGAGTAGCAGCGAGTAGATACTCTCGTTTCTTAAAAAAAGTTACTGAATTCCCAACGGATAGCAAATAAGAACTAACTTGCAGGCACCGTCCAAAACTTAGCTACTTGAATTGTGAAATATGACTAAAAGCTTCATATATGATCAGCACAGCAAACCTTTTGTTTTCAAAACTGTTATGGATCTGAAGGAAGCAGGTTGGAGCAGATTTCCCTACAAGTTTGTTCATTGACAATAGAAATTTCTGCTATGATGGGTCTTAAAATTATTATATTTATTTTAGAACGAGTAATTTAAAAATAATTAATTAAAATTTGTATTAGTTTTATTTTAAACTAAAATTAATAATTTTCAGATTATTCTAATGAAAAATTTGATCAAGTTATTCTTATTTAATTTTTTTCTCAAATTAGTCGCACCAACAAAGGTAGCAATTAGGTTAGGATATTTTAGTTTACTTTAGTATTGATGGATCTTAAAATTCTTGCATATATTTTAAGGTAAGTATAATATAAAATTTAATTCATTATTTATATATTACATTTATTTCAAAATAAATTTAATTATTTTTTATTGTCCGAACTAAGGCTTAGTTTAGGACCTCTTTTTTCTTGCTATTTAAAGTAATTTTTTAGTACAAAAATTTTAATTTTATAATAAAAAAATGTTTTAATAAACGATAAAAAAAGTTGTCTCAAACGAAACCTAAAGTATCTGAATATTAACTCAAATTATTTTCCACCAATAAAACAACCCTTGTGAAAACAGCTGGTAAATTCCTCTAAAATAATCATTCTTTAGTGTATTGCTATTTTCATAAAAATATAAGGGGGTAAATGAATTTTTTTCAAAATTTTCATTATTTTAAAATCAATATAAATTTTTTCTATTAAGTTCGGAAGCAATAAATAATTAGATATGAATTTTACTAAATATTTTATCAGAATGTCTGGTACTCTATCGTTTGCGCTCCTAATTTTGATAAAGAATACAGATCAAGGTCTTCGATGTTATTTTACTAGTGTTTTCTTATGCCAAAGTGTTGTTCTAAGGCTTCATTTGAAACGGCTTTTTAAATGTTTTATAAAATTACATTTTAGTTAAAATAATTTAAAAAGTTATATTAAATGAAGCCTAAAAAAATAGTGTATTAGAGAGGTCTAAAATTATTGACTTTATTTTAAAATAAATGTAATTCAAAATATTTACATTAGTATGCTTATTTTAAAATAAATTCAACTTATATTTATATTTTAAATCGTACTAATAATTTATTTTTAGAAATTTATTTCATAATAATTTAATATAGATTGCATTAGAATTTATTTGAAGACTTAAATTTTTTTTCTATTTCATAAAATAACTTCTTAGTATAAAATTATAAATTTTTATCAAAAAAATTACTTTTAAAAAAATGATCTCAAACAAAATCTTCAAGTGATGTGACCGTTACCATCTACATCATTTCTAAAATATAATAGCTGAAAAATTCCCAAAAAAAATTTTTCCAAACTCTTTGATGTGCTCGTTGCCGCGCTGCTGCCGGGTCAGGTCGGGTCAATCCGGCAACCCGGCCGGGTCGGATCCGGATTGAAATGTCCGACCCGTTTGCAAAAACAGGTCGGATTCGGGTTGACCCGTTTACATCCAAGCCGGGTCAAGTTCGACCCGAACCCGACGGGTTGACCCGAATTGACACCCCTACCAGAGAGACTTATGTAATCAAGGTTTTAGGAATTGGGCTGCACATTTAACCTATTTTAAGAAAAAAAAATTAATTATAAAATTCTACAAGAATGATGTAAACATTATTACAAATAATTAAAATTATTTAAAAGATAATATCTCTAATAATATGATTATATAAATGATTAAATACATATACATCAAGAAAATATACATAATAAGTCAAAAAAAAAAAAATCCACTTCCACATCAAATATTCATTGAAATGTATAATCAAATTAATTCAACTACCAATTTTTATGAGGGGATCCCAATTCCCTGTAAATCCATGATACCAATTCACTGCAAATCATAATTTTTAAACAAATTCATAAACCCTAAATCAGTTCAACTGACCGACTGAATTTGATTTTCATTGAAAAGAATATAATAAAATAAAAATAATTTGATTTTAGCTGTCATATATATAATAAATTAAGATATTTTGAAAGGATTTCATTTAAATTCAATATTTTTCAGCATCACCTTCCTTCTCCATCCTATTTCAATTTGCATGTAATTAACTCATCTAATATATAGTCGATATCCACTTGTAAGTGGTCACCTTCAAGACTTGGGCTTCGACGGATTTTTTACTGTTTTTTAAAATAATTTTTTAATACAAAATTTATACTAAAAAGCTGCTTTAAGAAGCAATAAAAAAACCGTCTCAAACGAAACCTCTTAGACTGACATGTAATAACACTTTGGACTGTACCTCTTCAAATCATTTCTTGAAGATCTTTCTTATCAAACTCTCAAACAAAAGATGAGCTTTAAGCTCAATTTTTTTATAACATGTATCATGAGAATATGGGATGTCATCTTGAACAAATTTTCAACTCATCCTTTCCCTATCTAATAGAACTGCCTTCATTGCTTGATGAATCACCGCCTTTGATTCAAATAATTCTCTTAGTACCATAGATGACCACGGAGATGACCACGGAGATCGACAGCCATGATTGAGAGTCTAACTCTCAAACAAAAGATTAGCTTTAAGCTCAATTTTTTGATAACATGTATCATGGGATGTCATCTTGAACAAATTTTCAACTCATCCTTTCCCTATCTAATAGAACTGCCTTCATTGCTTGATGAATCACTGCCTTTGATTCAAATAATTCTCTTAGCACCATAGAAACAATTTCATCTTTTGATTGTAATCTTTGACCATCAGAATCACTTGTTGTGACATTTTGCTCAACAAAACAATCTAAAAGATCACTATCATCCTCAAAATGTGTGACACCCTTACAAAATTTACTTTGATGTAATAGTGCTACTATTCAATAATTAACTTAACTTGCTCAACTACTTATTATAGTCAACATATATATCAATGTATTGTATACAACATGAACTACTGAGATCAAGCATATTTATAAAACAACAAGCATCAGTATTCAATTTTACAAGTCCAGATAAAGTTTCAGAAGAGAAAACAAGATTACATATGACAATCACATTATAATTTAAGCTTCATTTGAGACGGTTTTTTAATTGTTTCTTAAAACAACTTTATAATAAAAAACTTAAACTTTTGTACTAAAAAGCTGCTTTAAGAAGCAATAAGAAAATCATCCCAAACGAAAACTTTGTTTCTTTGTAACTAATAACATAATCCTCGAAATTCAAAATGTAGTATCTATCAGCCTCAACATTCTCTATTTCCACTCTTTTGCAATGTATATGTAATGAAAAACAAAAACTTTCTCAATTGCTAAAAAAACTGTAACAAAGTAGAATGGTACAACTTAAAATGAAGGTGAAGAAACAAATACTAAGGCTTCGTTTGAGATGGTTTTCTTACTGCTTCTTAAAGCAGCGTTTTAGTACAAAAAATTAAAAATTTTGTACTATAAAGCTGTTTTAAGAAATGGTAAAAAAAGCCGTCCCAAACGAAGCCCAAGACTTGAATATACCACAACGATAAGAAAAAATTGCATAGCAAAAAATCTAAACAAAACCCACAGAAAGAAAAACAGTGAATAAAAAAACTTGTAAAAAGCCACATTCGAATATACAGGCCATGAATGAAAACTACTGCAAGACATTGAATATCCAACCTAGAGTAAAGAAAAATGCTATTTTGAAGTATAGCCATTAACAAAATTGCCTAACAGCCGAGGGTAGTAGATTGCTGCTTTATTTTTTAAGTAAAAGGCCAGTTTATAGGGAGCTCCTAAAGATAAGAGAAACCTACATCACAATTGTCCTATGAATAAAAATGTATGTAGAACCAAAACTATAGCTTTTAACAGGTACGAAAATAAAATACTATTATATAAGATATTAGAGCGCTTTGAAATAAACCATATATAATTGAACAGAGGAAAGCAAACGCAGCTCAAGATCACATTATGAAATTTTCAAGGGTAGGCGGACCGTGTCGAAATCATCATTCATAATCAGATTGTCCAATTATCTGCTCCTTGAGATCTTCAATCATTGAAAATAATTCCTCCCTGTTTTTCTGCAGATAAATCAATAGATACAGTTCAAAAAATTCAAAAAGCTTCAACAGAACAATTTCAAATATTTTACCTTAAAAATGAGATATCGGTAGCTGAACCAGATTGTATAGCCGAGGCCAACCAGTTCCAGAACTTTTGGGAACTATAATTGAGAAAATAAGGTTACAAGTGTAAGCTTGGCCGGAAAATAACCAGCTTTCCAACACTTGAACAAGATTTTGTATTGAAATTTATTGCAATGGACATACCAGAGGAAGAGAATCGATTGCAGTAACAACGGATGAGGAAATCCACAGAGTAAGAAAAGCACCAGCTCCGTAAAACAGGATGTAGTAAGTGTCATTGAATTCCAACTACTCCAAAGAAGTGCGTGCAGATCAATTTATAAACAAAAAACACTGCGCGGCAAGGCATGACATAAATTATATCAATTTAGGCTTCGTTTGGGACGGCTTTCTTACTGCTTCTTAAAGCGGCTTTTTAGTATAAACATTTTAATTTTTGTACTAGAAAGCCGCTTTAAGAAGCAAGAAGAAAGTCGTACCAAACGAAGCCTTAGTCAAGACAATGAAAGCATGCATGATTAACACCATCTAGGGCTAATACTTCGGTTCAGTGAAAGAAGACTGAAAATCAATATGTTTTTGGTTTGCATATAGCTCTAATGAAAATCAACAAGTCAACGAATGATGTGTTAGGGTTGGATCAAACATGAATGAGATGAGCTTAAATTGAAACCAACTATAGCTCAAGATCAAATTGAAATGCAAATGCCTATCAGTATGAAGACATGTTGATATAAACGAAACACCAAAAACACAAAAACTGAAAAAGCAGAAATACTATTACAATAAATGTCTATAGCTTCCGCTAGAAAGGGTTTTTTTTTTTTTTTTTTATTTCATGTCCTAACTCTTCTAAGAGGGTTTATTTATAGCATGATAAGAGAACTTAAAATCTCATTAATGACTTAACAACTCTGGGCTCCGAAAATTCGAACCCGGCCTTCCCTGCTTTGAGGAGAGTTTTAACGAATTAAGTTCCGAGGTAAATTTTCAGAAGACAAATTGGATTTGAAATCAGACACTACCCAGAGATTTCACCCTCATTTTGCGAGGACTTCAAGATCTGAGTTCTGGTTCAAACCTCTATAGTTAATTACCCCTCCCGGCAACGAGAGAGAACTTTCAATTAAGGCTAGTCGTCAATCAGATACGTAGAGATATGTGTATCTAGCATATAATAGCATCATTGGTTTGGTTGTTGAAAATTTAATATTTAAAATCAGAAATTCACCACCTTGCACTTAAGCGGATGGTGGGGGAATGGATGATGAGCCCGATCAAGGTCCTATGATTCCGTCATTCCGGGCCATCGTGGTCCCTGGTCTACTTAGTCAGAGGAGGTAGTCAAGCCAACCTAACAGAAGGATCATTGCCATTAGCCATGGGTTGAGTCGTCCAAGCGTACCTTGTGGAGCAGTACTTGGGAGAAAGAGACCGGATTTTGACAGAATTGAAGGAACATCTACAGAGAGCACAACAAATCATTAACAAGCAGGCGGATAGACACAGGAGATGTGCAATTTAAGATTAGGGCGTGGTTTATTTGAAGATTCGACTTTACAGAAAGAGGATGTTGGCTTGACGAAAGAATGAGAAGCTCTCCCCCGCTACTTTGGGCCCTACGAGGTAATGGAGCGCATTGGCTCAGTAGCATATCACCTACGATTGCCAATGACATCAGCTATCTATCTTGTATTTCATGTATCGCAACTGAGACAAACCATTGGAAACCACACACCCTCGTTTGCGCTACCGACCACACTGTCAAAAGATATTGAAGTGATATTAGAACCATTGGAGGTGAAAGGGGTGCACCAAGGAAACAAGGGGATCAAGGAGGTGCTAATTAAGTGGAAGGATTTACCAGAATATGTGGTGACATAGGAGCTCTACAATACTATTCAGAAACAGTTTCCTTTTTTCCACCTTAAGGACAATGTGACGTTTTGGGGGGGGGAGCATTGATGCAGCTAACAACAACAGTCCAGCTTCCTAGGTGGGGCCCGAGACATCCACCTATAGGAGAAGAGGCTTTGAGAGAAAGCTCTTTGTGAAAGATGTAAGGGGCGTTTATTATTTGATTTAGATTGTTTAGGGGGGGGGAGAGATTATGGAGGGTTAGGGTTTTTATATTATGTTTTGAATTTATGTAGCAGTTTTTATAAGGTGTTTGGGTTCCTTGTAGCTGCTAGGAATTATGGGAGAGACAATTCACCTCTCGAACAATGAATCAACTTGTATCTTGCCATGCTTTGCCTGAAAATTAGTAAAAACAACTCTCTTGGTATTATTTCTGGATCTATTTGGAGTAAGTTGCCGTCTTTTTATATTGTTGTGTGTTGTTTTGATCATCAAGTCCTATCAAGATGTGAAGGAAGAGGACAAAGAAATAAACTTGCAAAGTCAAGCTAATGGTGTTGATCAGGAAATCTATTGCATCAAATTATTAGAGCAGCAAAGCTTGCTGAAGATGAGCTAGATAATCAAAACCATGTACTTGCCTTTACCAAAGTGGAGGCTCTTCAAGAGATTTATATGAACCAGGATAACTATTTGGAAGAGTCTTTCAAAATGAGGAATCTTTTGGATGAATTCAATGAAGACTATGGACTACGCCCACCAACCATTCTTGGTGTACGTAGGCACATTTTTACAGGAAGTATTTCATCTTTGGGATGATTCATGTCAAGCCAAGAAACAAGTTTTATGACAATTGGACAAAAGGGCTATGGCTACTCCACTAAAGGTGTGCTTCCAATACAGGCATGCAGATGTATTTGACATGCTTTTTCACATCATTAGAGGTGGCATATGCAAGGCTTCTTGTGGAATCAAACTAAGGATATCCTTGTAGGATTAAATTTGACATTAAGGCAAGGAAATAGCACTCATCATCCCACCATGAGTATATTCAGATTGGGAAGGATCATGATGTTGGACTCAACCAAATCTCCCTGTTTGAAGTAAAGGTTGCATGTATCAATGCAGAACAATTACTTAGCATAAATATCTATCACTTGGGCCACCAATTTGACTTCTTTCGCATGCTTTCTTACTACTTCACAACTGTAGGGTTCTATGTCAGCTCATTGATGCGAGGAATAATCCTCTGAAGGCTGTTATGGCATCTCAATCTGCCGTCCAGCTTGGTTTATTGATGGCCTTACCCATTGCTATGGAGATTGGGATGAAAAAGGGATTTAGAACAGCATTGGGCAACAAAATCATCATGTAACTTCAATTGTACTAAGTGTTCTTAACATTATTGCTTGGAACACCATTATTTTGGACGGACAATCCTACATGGCAGAGTAAATATAGAGTTACTAGATGAGGATTCGTTGGGCGACACGTAAAGTTTGCAGAGAACTAGATGTACTCTAGAAGTCATTTACAAGGGTCTGGAAATTATGATGTCACCTGCCGTTAATTATTTATCAAATCTATGGATCTGAAACTCCTGATTCAACAACCTTTATGCTTCTCACTACATCCATGTGTTTCCCTATTGTCACCTGATTTTTTGCGCCATTTCTTTTTAACCTTTCTAGCATTAAGTGGAAAAGAATAGTTTGATGACTAGAATGACTGGACCAAGTGGATAAAAAGTGAAGGCATTGGCAAAGATGTTAAACTGTTGAAATATGGTATATTCTCTAGAGTAAAGTAGGAGCATATAATGAAGGATATAGAACTGGATCATGCGCTAAGTGGTTCTCGACAAGAAGCATATTTTGTTGTTAAAACAGATGATCATGAGACAGTTCTATTCCGTAAATCTTGAGGACAATGTGCATTTTTTGGGAGGGATTATTGATATGCTTGGGGGGGGACAAGCATGAGGGGGCTTATTTAGGAAGGTTACTAATCAAAAGAGAGCTGTTTAGAAACGCTCCTAATTAAAGAAAATTATTTAGAAATATTCTTTATTAAGGGAGAAGTTGTTTAGAAAAGTTTCCTAATTGTGTTTATGCTACTTAAGATGTATTTAATTGTTTAGAAAAGATTCCAAAAATATGTTTAATTGTTTAAGAAAGTTTCCTAAATCATATTTAATTATTTAGGAAGGTTTCCTCAATCATGCTTAATTATTTAGGAAGGTTTCCTAAATTATGTTTATGTTGATAAGGAAGGTTCTATTTGTTTAGAAAGGTTTCCTAAATTATGTTTATGCTGATTAGAAAGGTTCTAAAGTTATTGTGTTCTAGGGCTATTTAAGAGAGAGTTGTTTAGGATTATAGATTCATGCTATCAATGAGTTTTGTGGATGTTTGCTGTAGTTCTTTTCTTTGAAGACTTCCTAGCGGCGTCAAAATTGATTGGGAGAGTAGATCTATACCTCTAATTATAGATCATCTATATCTTGTTTTCTCTTATTGAAATTTTAATAAAAAATCAGCCACTGTTTTAATTTTACTGTAGTTTTTATATTATTGTTTGTTGTTTTTGCTTCCAGAGCATAACAATATGACAATATATGGCATGAGGAATTTTTTTTTTTGGTGGATGTGGAGGCTCTTATTCAGCTACCTATTCCAAACCTTTGATCCTTAATTAAGTGTAAGACTCATATTCCAGAAGATATCATCTACTTATACATGCGAGAGGCTTGTTTTTCTAGTATCTTTACCTGCCTCTTTTATTTTTCATATTTCGTCTTTTTCTATATTTGGTGTTAATGATAGAAAGCTAGATTATATTTACTCAGATTTTGTTCCAAGTCTAATTTATGTAGATTCCATGAAGTTTCAATTATTTGGGTGGCCTTTGTGACTCTTATTTCTATTCATTAATTTCTACTATAAGCCATAAGATTTATCTTGATTGATGTACACCTTTCTTATCTTTCATCAAAAGTGAAAAATAGTTGAATTGAATTAATAGTTGGTGTCCTGCAAACTTTAGAATTTTTGTTTCATTGCTTTCAGCATCGAATAATAGATTTATAATAAAAAGTCTGAACCCTAAATCATCCAACTTCATTATGGATATCATGCTCTAGAAAAGGCCTTACAACATAAAATAGAATGTTTGCAACCTTAAAAAAACATCCTATATCATCCTATATTGCAAAAGAAATATGCTTGTTAAACCAAGAGAATAAATATACAATTTCTTGAAAATTTTAAGTTGAATTAGATGTTGTTCTAAGAATTTGGGTAGAAATTGTCATGCCCATGCTTTGTACAAGATGAACATGAGCAATAATTCTATCCAATTCAAAGAAACCTAAAAAATGGCTATCTTTTGATTCAAAAGAAATCTATAAATGAGAACTTCAAGAATAAACGAATATTCCATAGCAAATGAAATATACTCGTAAATCTATAGGGCCATATGTTTCCTTTCAAACCAATCATGAGATCCAATTATACAAAATATGGAAGGTATTAGAAGGGAGTACTAAAATGAATGAAAAATAATGCTATATAAATTGAGTAAAAAACATGGGAAATTAAAATTTATGTTTACCATCAATGAAAGGTTCAAAAACTAGCAACATCATCTATAAGAACAGTACTCAAGTGAGATGATTATTAGAGTTTTTTTTTTTTTTTTTTTTTTTTTTTTTTTTTTTTTTTTGAGAACTGAAATTTGGCCACAGTTGTGGCTACGTTGAAGCTCACCAAAAATTCCAAGAACCTACTAGAAAATATATACCATTATTAAGGGCAAAAAAAAAACAACTTAATCTCAACTGGAAACAAAATTATCACATTGTTTATTATCAGAACATCGGCTATCATCAGTCTGAGATGGGCTAGGGTTTACAAGATTAAAGAGAAACAAAAAAAAAATTAAGGAAATAAATTCTTGTTCCATTCATAAGCATCACTAAATATAAAATTTGACATCAAAGCATCCATCTTAGTTTATCACTTGAATAACTTCTTTGATCAAATTTGCAATAACTTCTAAGCAGACTTAAAATTAAATTGATTAATCTTTAGGTTTTGACAATTTGTCAATCCCCATTAATCTCTGATTTTCATCTTGAAGTGAAGTTTCAACAGCTTCCAGAAAAATTATGCTCGTTAATTTTTTTAATTAAGATCTACTTTATAAATTGCATTTGAGATTGAGGTCACAGATGCAACTTACAGCCAAATATACAATTTTGATGTTTGCAGAAAAAAGAAGCTGCAAGTCATGGTAAATGTGAATGATACATATCGCAGGCAATACCTTACTAATTTAAAACAAATGGAATGCCACATATAAGAATGGAGCCTGCCTAAACAAATGCTATTAGCCATTAGCCATTGTGCAGCACATTAAAGAAATCAGCATCCAAAAATCAACACGCTCATCGAGCATTCCAAGCAGCAAATCGTATTATAGAAATATTAAAGCACATAATTTACACGCAAAAATTAAGACAAATATCGTAACTGCGTAACTCGCGAAGCAAAGCCCCACCATACAAACACCTCACCTTGACATCAAGCTTGCTAAGGAAATCTCCAGCCTCGCCTTGCTCGTCACCATTCGGAGTCTCAACAATTGTTACTGGAGCCTTCTTCGGCTCCGAAGGCTCGTCTAACTTCTCTGACACGATGGTCGAGGTCTCCTCAGAGGCCGTTGCTAGTGGCAAATGCAAACCTGAAACGAAATAGGGTGAGCAGAACTAGTGTAGAAATTAGGGTTTTCGCGCAAATACATTCGTTTGCGTCGCAGCCAAAGAAGAGATAAATCGTCGAAGAAACACCACGACTCACTTTATAATGTATTAGGTACCTGGTTTGGAGTGAAACGATAGGGTTTTGGATGAAGAGAGGGATGGGTGATGGCGAATGATCGGACGGAGACGGAGTCGGGGAAGGGAGAGGATCGCCCTTGGGCGGCAGCATAGTTCCATTTCAAAGCCGAGCGACGGAGAAGAGGCAGATTGAGTGCTCCACCGCTTTGGAATGCTGTATTCATTTATATATATACTACCTTGTTTTTTAAGCTTATGAATTAATACTAATAATTAATTTAGGATTTATTTAGGATAACTTAAAATTTGTGTTAAAATTAAAAAAAAAAAGTAAAAAAATCATCTCAAAAGAATCCTTAATCAAGCTGCCCATTAGGGTTTTAGGTGAGAGCTTTGCCAACCAATCAAATAATTTCAAATTAAAATTTTAGGTATATGATCTATATGAATTTGTCTGGTTTGCCAAATCTAATAATAAAGTCTCCTGTGTCTTTTAATGTGATTTGATAATCTAATAAAAGAATATCTCTCGCACCCACGCTCACTTGCCTGACCCTCGTAGCCTGCGCTTGCATCCTGCTCGCACTCATGGGTTAGCGAGTTGGGTCGGGTCAATTCGAGTTAGGGCGAGCTAAGTCTGGGTCAAAATTTTTGTCCAATTTGTTTAATATGGGCATATTGGAGTTTGAGCAGTTAAAGATGTGTTAGTTTCAAGTTGGAACCGAACATATTCCGAAAATCCAATTTTGACTGCACTAGAACCTAGACTTTTTTCTTCTTCATTATTATGTCAACTAAATAATTTAAAATGTATATGAATAATTCTTTTTTTTCATTATTAACTATAAAACAAATATTTATGATGTGTTTGCATTATATAATATTTATATGTCTTAAGTATGGTTAAATGGCATAAATTTGATTTAAAAAAAAACATGAAGTCAAACTTCTAAAATTTGTAATCAAAATTTAAATTTTTTTGGTGTAAAATCAAATTTGATTCATTTAGCTAATTTTTTAAAACAAAAAAGCATGCCCTCCTTTTTTTTCTCGGCGGCGGCGGCGAGGATGGGCGGAGAAGAGATGAAGCGTCCGCGGCACGTGTAGCTGTCTAAGCTCGCTGAGCAAGCAGAGCTCTTCGAGGAGATGCGGCTATTCGTGGGAGGACATGGTACGGCAAACGCTCGCGTAGATAGTTCACTGTGGAAGAAGAAACCATGGTTGTGTATAAGGAGACGCAGGTTTGCATTGTTTAAGCTTGCAGAGGGAGGAACTAGGGTTTTGCTGTCTGCTCTGAAGTTCTGCTGCTTGATTGAGTTTTTACTTTTTTCAATAGAAAGTTCCCATTTTGAGACACCTTTCTCTTCAATTAGCTTTTATAAGTGCCAAGCCAGGGACAAAACAGTTCTCGCCTAATCCCATTAGTAGTTGTTCTGGACCTTCTGGCGCCGTATGATGCCATCTCAATTTGTTTTCCAGGGAGCTGATTGAAACTTCCAACCCGACTTAAATTTAACTTAAGTCAGGGTGTTGCATATTCAATTCACGTAGTGCTAATCCAGATTCTAAGGTGGTATTGATGCAAGCATTGTCACCTCTGCAACTTGAAAACTGCTATGCTGTTAAGCTTGCAGTTGTCATTGCAGTATCTGAGAGAAACAAGTTTTACAGAGAATGGAAACAGAGAAGAAGCTGTAAGCCTGTAAGAGATGAGTATGCTTTTTCATTACTTGTTTCTATCTTTACAGTGGTATTTATAGACGGCTGAAACCAAGAAACAACTGTACAAGTCAAAACTGAAATAACCGAATTGTCGGCTAAGCTCATGTTAGCTGTTTGTTTTAATTTCCATTTCTTGCTTAGTTGTCAACATACCCCTGCAAACCGATGGCACAGTTGTGACAGTGAGTTTGGTAACAAGATGCTTGAAGCAAGAAATGGATAAAGGTTTGGTAAACAAATCAGCTAGTTGATCTTTTGATGCAATGTGATGAACTTGTATAGATAGGACACAATGGAGAAAAAGGATTCATGTAGCCGACCCCACGTAGTGGGATAAAGGCTTGATGTTGTTGTTGTTGTTGTATCTAATAAAATGACGATCAATCACAATATGTTTGGTACGGTCATAATAAATTGGATTGTTGGTTTAGGCAATTGCTAAAGTTTTGTCAAAATATAGTTGTGTAGGTTGATTTTGAATGCAATCTAGTTCCTTGAGCAGCCTTCTAAGCCATATAATCTCTGTTGTGGCCAAAGCAATAGCTCTGTATTTGGCCTCAGTTGATGATCTTGCTACCATTGAGTGCTTCTTTGCACACCATGAAATGGGAGTAGAACGTAAGAAAATACAATAACCGGCTGTGGATTTTCTGTCTTGAGGATCTCCAGCCCAATCCGAATCTGTGTATGAACTGAGCGTTAATGAATCTGCAGTGATTGATATTCCAATCTGTAGCGATCCATGAATGTAGAGCAAAATTCTTTTGAGAGATTCAAAATTGAATTCAGTCGGTTGATGCATATGCTGGCAGGCTTTATTAACTGCATATGTGATATCTGGCATTGTGAGTGTTAAGTACTGAAGTGCTTCTACCAGCTGTCTATACAGTTTTGGATTTGCAAATGCAGGAGAATCAGATGAAGTAATTGCTTTAGGACTGATAGGAGTAGCAATTACTTTGTTGTTGGACATGCCAGCACGCATTAAAATCTTTTCTGCATAACCTGTTTGATGCAGAACTAGTCCTTCTTTGGTATTTGTTGCTGTAATTCCGAGAAACTGAGTTAGTGAGCCCAAGTTTTCATGTGAAACCGCTGATTCAGTTTCTATAATAGATTAGTTATACACTGAGAATTGTTGCGTGTTAATATGATATCATCAACGTAGATAAGAAGGTACATGACAACACCATTGTTCTTGTAAATCATTAGGGACGAATCCGAGTGGCTTGTAGTAAAGCCTAGACTGTGGAGAAAGCCAGTCAGTGTTTCAAACCATTGCCTCGATGCTTGCTTAAGACTGTATATGGCCTTCTTCAATTTACAAATAAGAGTGGGAAAATTTTCATTTATAAAACCCATTGGATGCTTCATGTATACAGTGTCCGATAAATGACCATGTAGAAAAGCATTTGATACATCTAATTGATGTTTTGGCCATTTATGATGTAATGCAAGAACTAATAGAATACGAACTGTAGCTATCTTGGCAACTGGACTAAATGTTTCCTTGTAGTCCAATCCTAGTTTTTGATGGCAACCGAGTGCAACCAATCTTGCCTTGTAACTAGAGATAGTTCCATCTGAGTAATATTTTGTTTTAAACGACCATTGGCACCCAATCGGAATTTGATTGGAGACAGGTACCAACTCCCATGTACCTTGTGTTTGCAAAGCTTGAAGTTCTTGTGACATAGCCATACGTCAATGCTCATATTTAACAGCTTGTGCATATGTGGTAGGATCATCATTAGTGAGTTTATGAAGAAGATCAAATACTCTTTTTGGTTTAAGGTGGCCTGTTTGTAATCGAGTCTTCATTGGGTGTGCTTGAACCATAATTCTTGTAGTCTGAGTGGTTGGATTTGATATTGGCATAGGAGACCTTGGGATCAGGCTATGGGATAGACTGGGAGTATTTGGCACGGGTCTGATAGATGTGTTGGAAGGTTGTGGTGATATAGGTAAGGACTGTTTGGGTTGAAGTTTTCTGGGAGAATAGGTGCGAACGAGTAACAGCGATGGGATGTTATTTGGGTAGACTGTAGGAGCAGGCAAAGTAGTGATTGTATGAATTTGTTTGAATGGAAACGTTTTCTCATTGAAGATCACATGTCTAGACACATAGACCCGATTGGTGTTGGGATCTAGACATCTATACTCTTTTTTATGTTTGAGCATATCCTATGAACACACATGGAAGTAAGAGTGGTGATAGCTTAGATTTTGCATAGGGTCTCATCCACGGATAGCATATGCATCCAAAGGTTTTCAAGTGTGTGTAGGTGGGACAATTGTTGTACAATTTTTCAAAAGGTGTTTTGTTGTGAAGAGTTGGAGTTGGCAGTCTGTTAATTAGATAGGTGGCCATGTATAATGCTTCAATCCAAAAAATGGAGGGTACATTTGAGTGAATGAGAAGACTTATGACAATTTCTATTATATGTTTGTGCTTCTTTTTGGCAACACCATTTTGAGATGGTGTATGTGGACAAGTGAATTGATGGTTAATGCCATGCTGAATGCAGTATGATTTGAAATTATTATTCAATTACTCTCCACAACCATCGATCCTGATTGTTTGAATGGCTTGGTTAAATTGGCATTTGATGTTTTGATGAAAGTTTATGAATATGGGAGTGACTTCTGACTTTAGAAGTAATGGAAAAACCCAATAATATCTAGTGTAGTCATCAATGAACGACACATAGTATCTATAGCCTTATACAGACGTAGAGGGTGCCGGCCCCCAGAGATCAGAATAAACTAATTGAAATGGTGCAGTAGTATGAGAGATGGAGAAGGCAACATGTGTTACATGTAGAGAGAATAGAAGTACATATATCAGAATATCTGCGAGCTAGAAATTGTAAGGTAGAAGTAGCTGGATGCCCGAGGCGATTATGCCACAGGTTCGGAATAGTTTCAGCTGAAATCAATGCTAGGTGCGAAAACTTGGAAGCGGGATGAATTATGTAGAGCCCATTATGGCATGACCCTTGAAGTAGAAGACGATGAGTCTTCAAATCCTTTATTTGATACCCATTTGAGGAGAAAGATATGATACAATCATTATCAGTGGCTAACTGATGTATTGAAAGAAGATTGAAAGACAAGTTTGGCACAAGATGAATTTTATGAAGAAGAAGATTACCTGTTGGTGTAGGTAAGAGACCACGGCCAGTGTTTTGAATTGGAAGTTTGTGTCCATTGCCAATAACCACTTGAGATGATCCGTTGTATGATTCAGATGTTTTAAATTGAGAAGAGTCTGTTGTGAGGTGTGTTGAAGCCCCACTATCAAGGAACCAGTCTGATTGAGAAGCTGTATCCGTGTTTGATTAAAAAAAATATAGGTGAGTTTTGAAATAGTTTAATTTTATTTGGGAAAGGTTAATTTCTTGAATTATAGTTTTGAAATCGAACATGTTATTAAGAACAATATATTATCTCGGGAGACGAACATATATTCACTAATAGGTTCAAATTCGGAACTTTGAATTTTATTCTGATTATCGTATGCAAACTCAGGAGAGATAATATATGATCTCGAAAGATCAAAATGATGTTCAATCACATGTTTGACTATAATAATTTGTATAAGAAATCATTAATTTCATAATCAAGATCATAATAATATAACGATATATCTTTCCGGAGAAGGAAGATATCGCTTATTATTAATTATTTGAAAATGACGATAATAATTTTTATATTTGATTTTCTCAAAGAGAATTAATTAAAGGTTTTGAAAACTTAATTTTGAAAATCTGGTTTGGGTTTCTAAATCTCCTACGAGCACAAGTCCTTGTAGTTAATTACATCGTAGGGAAACTGAAGTTTCCTACGAATACTCTCGATTAAAATATCGGTACAAATTTTATTTAAGATTTCAAAGATTGATGTCAAAGGAGGTAAATGTTAGAAATTTCAAGTTGGATTTTAATGGCTTGTTGACTAGTTTGACTAGTCAACAAAGTCAAAGCTGATAATATGATATTTAGGTGATGTTTAAATGTCAATGATGTGGATTCTAAAAGGCCTTAGGGATTAGGTCCATTATATGAATGAAAAAAAAAACATATGTGGAAAGTTTTGACCAAATTTTGTTGAGTTGACTTGGTCAACCTAAGGTGACATGACTCATGATAGGTTTAGACATATTTGAGTCATGCATTGGAAATGGTTTGAAGAGTTTTAAAGGTTTGATTGAATCATATGCCTTATCTTGTTCAATTGGGTTAAGTTTGACTCAGCTTGGGTTCAGTTGACCAAGTCAACTAATAACTAGGTCAGGGGTCCCAGCAAGTCTAAATCACTAGGAGAAGTGATTAGAGAATTTTGTATAGGTTTGAAGTTTGAATTGATTGAAGTCTAGATTGATTTCAGATTTAGATTAATCAGATGTCTGGATTGATCTAGGTTCTTGATAGATTCTAGGGTCTGGATTGGTCATAGTGACCTCATATAAAAATGAGATCAACAATCCGGCGATGTAAACAATGCATTGTGAGATCCTGTATCTATATATGTTGGATCGTTTTGATACCAACATCTAATCGTCGAATGACCTATTTTATTACAGATCTGACAGATTATATGGCGATTTGGATTTCTATCTGCTCTGTCTCCCCTACCTGGTTGTTGTGTAGTTCGACAGCCTCTGCTTCCTCGAGAATTATTGTATCTCCCTCGGCCTCGACCTCGAGAGGCAGTGAGAGCCATGGAGTTGTCCGTCAGATTTAAGGATTGGAGATCATGTGTTGCTTCATTCGCTAGGATCTGCTCTTCACTGCACAATAGACTGTAGAGATCGTCTAAGTTCAGTGGTTGCAGATTGGTTCTGATCGCCGTTTTAAATGATTGATATGATGCATGGAGTCCATTTAAAGTATAAAGAATCACATCCTCTGGATCGATGCTACCGCCAGTTGCTATTATGGCATCAACTTTGGATTTCACTTCAAGAAGATACTGTGT